CTACTCCACGCACCGTTCCCTGACCTGGAAAGCCTTCGGAGAGACGTCCTGCCCTCACACCAGGCCCGGTGTCTGGAGTGGCCTGAAGGGGGAGTTCAGCCAAAGGAGCTGGTGGGGTGATACTCAGCACAGCCAGCGTGGCCCGGTGCTGACCATCAGGACCAGCGCTGGCACCTGGCACCGCCTGCAGGTGACTGTGCTGCCTGCATCCAGCTGGGGGTGCAGATGGAGACCGGGATGCACCCACAGGGCTGCGAGGTGAGCGGAGCAGCCCTCCCCGCGGGCACAGCACTGCACCCTGCACCCTGCACCCGGGGCCTGCGGGGCACAAGCTGGATTTGTCTTCCTGCCTGAGGCCATCACCAATTATATGTGCTGTGAGGCACGCTGGCCTCCCGCCAGAAGCAGAGGTGAAGGAATTTATAGAATCTCTCTCTGATCTAACTTATTAGAGAAGTTAAAGGAGGCTGCTCTGCAGGAGATAAAAAACCAGCATTCAATTCCCACCATGAGACAGGCCTGTGCCAAGAGTTCCTGTCCCCTGACCTGGAAAGTGGGGATCATAGCAGCACCCCCTGAGGGTCGTGATGAGGGGGAGGTGAGCCCTCGGAGCAGTGCCCGGCAGAGCTGGCCCTCCAAAATGGGCCCGGGTCCAGGAAAAGATTAGAGCACATGACGGGCAGGGACAGCGAGACACAGTCACATGCCATCGGTGGGTGAAGTCTGACTGCAAGGAGGGTTGTTCGCTGTCGCCGCCAGGATAGTGCAGGGTTCGCGTACGCAGGGTGCCTGCGAGATCGAGGCCTTTCTGCTCCAAAGGTGCACAGACACGGCCCCACCCAGCGTCCCTCTCCAGGGGCTGGCCCCGCCCAGCCACCCGGGCGGCGAGGCCTGTACCCACAGAAATGGTCTGGCTGGGGAGGTATCAGCCCCCTTCCCTGTCCCGGCCGATGACAGGAAACCCAATCCTAGCCTACATGGCACCCGCCGGGCCACCCCTTCCAAACTCCAGCCTTTTCGTTTCCTGTCCTAACCACCTGTGACAGCTCACATATGCCCGTCTCTGCACACCTGCCCAGGCTGCTGGGTTACGGTTGCTGCGCGTCTTCTCTGATGGAGATGTGATCCTCTCGGGCAGAGCGGTGCTGAGGCCCCGGCGGCCCCGCAGCCCTCGCAGCCCTCACAGCCCGCCGGGCCATCGCTGAGGCACGAAGCACGTATGTGGCCGTGTTGCTGCCACCGTGAGGCCAGGGCCTCAGCACCACTCAGACCCAGGAGCGCCAGGCTCCTCGGAGGAGAATGAAGGGCGTTTTGTCTTTTGTCTCTTTGTCATATTTCTTTTTATGATTATTATTTTAGAGGGAGAGAGAGAGAAACATCGATTTGTTGTCCCACTTACTTATACACTCATTGGCTGGTTCTTGTACGTGCCCTAACCGGGGATCGAACCCACCACCTTGGTGTGTCAGGACGATGCTGTAACCAACGAGCGACCCGACCTGGGCCTCTTTGTCCGCCCATGCTATTTGTTGTTGTGAATCCGCACTCGAGGATATTTTCCCATTGATTTTTCAGAGAGTGTAGGGAGGGGAGAGACAGAGAGAGAGAAGCATCGATGTGAGAGAGACACACATCGATTGGTTGCCCACACCGATTGGTTGCCTCCCGCACGCACCTGATTGAGCCTGCAATTGAGGTCCATGCGGTTGACCAGAGTCGAACCCAGAACCTTTCAGTCCGCAGGCCGAGGCTCTATCCACTGAGCCAAACCAGCTAGGGCCATGCCCCTTTTAAAAAACCCACCCACCTGCCAGGGAACGGGAGGGGCGGGATGGGCTGGCGGTCACCCAGAAGGCACGGCGCCCAGGGGCGCAGCACACACTCCCCCCTCCCTGAGCTTTGCCTCCCTGAGCCGAAGGCCAAGAGCGGCCTGAAACTTGGAGAAGTACCTCTCCCAGCCCCCAAAAGGCTGTCTGCCTGCGGGCCACAGCCCTGAAGGTCACAGCCCTGCGGGCCACAGCCGCCGTGACTGGCTTCGCAGTGTTTCCTTTTATTTCAGTCCATCCCCCCTGTCCTGGAGCAGCGGGGCCAAAAGAACTCACGGGAACCAGCCGTCCACTGGCTGACTCCCGGCGGAATGCGGAATGCAGGCATCTGGGAAATGTATTTTAAAATCGATTTAATGTTGAATCGTGTTAAAGGTTTTAATTCCCAAGCAATTGGAACGCCCCGAAACGCCGATGAGTCCCAGCAGCCAGGCAGGAAGCCGGATCCGCCCTGGCCACGCTGAGGAGACCCTGGGAGCCCCGGGAGCCCCAGGAGCCC